CTTTCAGAAAAACTCACTCCTACTCCTAGTAAGTCATCCATGTAGGTAATCTGGCTTAATGTACTCCATTTCTCTAATATATTTTCCATCATTTACATTTTTGTTTTTTAGAGTTTTGGAGGCTGGAAAGGCAAATGTTTTTTTGCCAAAAAATTCACCAACTGGAGTAACTCATGTAATTGCCAGTAATGCAAGGATCAGTGCTGAAAAAGAAAAAGACAACTTTAAGGCTCCATTTTACCCAATTCAGTATCTAGGGGATTTTCTTTTAGAGGTAAGTAAAATAAATAATAGACATGTAAAACTGTTCATTTTATGAAGAACCAATACAGTGAAATACAGCCCATCATGCTTTGATAACCCCAGAGTTGGGTTCCCGGACAAATAATGACAAGGAGAGGCAGCGCATGTTCTGTACACATGCAGCCGGTGTAGGCCTACCTGCATTTTCTAACCAGTGTTGGTTGAATCTGCATTTGGAGGCAGCAGATATGGAGTGCTAACTGTTTATATTAAAATTATGTTCTAAACTTCAAAAATGTGTAGTTGAAAGTCCTTTCAAGTGATACTCAAGGTGGAAGAGAAGCATTTTTAGTATGTCCCAGGATAACCTTGATCTAATAAAACTTATTTCCTTCAGTGTGAGTACAAGTTAAGAACTAAGCAGTACTCACATGTGTCTTACTCTTTGCTTGATGTCTCTGGCTTTCCATCTTCTTACAATCCCATTATCCAGTCTCTTGATTTTATTCAAATTGTGTGACAAACGCCTTGGGGCTAGATACTGGTATAAGACTTGGAGGTAGGTGCATATTTCTCTACATGGTCCAAGATAAGAAAATAAGTTAAACATCTGAAACAAAAGCCAAGCTAATTCTCATTGCCACAAATGAGTATTACCTACTCATAGATAATAGGACTGCTTAATAATTAGGCTTTTAGCCATACTTGGATAAATAGTACTCTAGTTTATCCAAATATGCTAAAATAACCCCTTTTTCCAATATCATATATGTAGACAGACACCTAATGCAATCCCTCATGCATAGTTGGCACTAGAGAAACATTTATAAAATGAGGAATAAAAAATGAATATTTTTAATTGCTATAATGCTTCCACACTTCATAAGAGTAGCCAATTGGAGAGAATATTGGTGTTTTAAAAAATACATATTAAAGCCAGGTGTGGTGGTGCCTGCCTGTAATCCGAGCACTCGGGAGGCTGAGGCAGGAGGATTCCAGTTTGAGGCCAGCCTGGGCTACATAGCGAGACCCTGTCACAAAGAAAAGAAAAGAAAAGAAAAGAGAAGAGAAGAGAAGAGAAGAGAAGAGAAGAGAAGAGAGAAAGAAATTAGCTATTTTTTGTAGTTATACAAAAATACTTTATTTTACTTAAAATACTTTAAAGAGAAAAGAGAAAAGAGAAAGAAATTAGCTATTTTTTGTAGTTATACAAAAATACTTTATTTTACTTAAAATACTTTTCAAATATTATAATTTAAATATTGGGCTATGATTTTAAAATAGTTAACATATAGGATACTAGTATCATATATCTTGATTTACAGGTCCAAGCACAATATTTTTAAAGGACAAATAATATAGCCCAGTATAGTCTTACTCCATTTTAACTTTTATCTTAATTGGGTCCTAGGAGGACATTGATTCTCCATTCTTCCTGGAGTACTGTGTCATAGTGAATCTCTGAATTCCCTTCCAGAAGTACATTTTGGGAGCTGTCATGAACTCACCTTTACTTTCAGCTCTATCTTACTTAACTTCTAGAACTGTATATACATATAGGTACATGTGTATTTTTAAAATAATTTATAGGCAGTTTTTGAATTCACCTTTGACTTTTTAGCAAGAACAATTTTAGATACAGCTAGATGAAGATAATTGTTATTTATTGCTATTCTAATAAAATAAGAGTTGTAAATTCAGCTATTGCTTTATCTATCTCTGTCTCTCTCACTCTTACTTATAAATAAGGTTTACCAATAAAAAAATCTTAAAAACTACCAAGAAATTATCTATCTATAACCTAACAGTCTTTACATCTACACTGTAACTTTAATTTTGGACAAGGAATAGGTTTTTTGATGATTCATAAACAAGATTGGTTGTTACTAGACTAGCAAAATGGTAGCTCTTCTTGAGACATACAGAAGTCACTTTATTATCCAGAATCTTTGCTCTAATTGTTTTGTTCTTGAAAGATTTCACCAGTGTTTCAAGCCTTTGTTTTTGGAGGAAACAAAAGCATATAATGTTAAAATTTATACTTATTTAACTGCCTAAACCATTTATATATATGTATATATCTATAGAAAGAAATTCAGAGTGATGAAGAATCTCAAACCAGCTCTATTGGAAGTAAACCAAGCAATCAAGAAAGAAACAAAGATTTCAGGAAAGATATGGGATTATTTGAAACAAAAAGTGCCTTAAGAGAGCCCATATGTAGAACCCAGGTAAAATTTTACAGGCTAAAATATGTATCTTTTTCTTTGTACATATGTGTGTGCATGGGTGCATGTATGCGATTGCTTGAGAGTCAGTATTTGGCGGATATAACATGAATCTTGGAATCTGAACACTAGTATTTGAACTATGTGTTTTTAGTCTGTGACTTGAGCATATTAGAAAATTTCTCTTATGTCCATGTTTTGGAACTTTTGCTGGAAAAATACATATATACATACAGGCAGAGTTCCTAATTTGTAATATGTTTTCAATATATAGTAATTATCACTTCTCTATTTAATGTAATGTGTACTTTATGAAGCATTTTTCTTACCTATTAGTGCTATGTATATTTATAATTCATCTTTAACTGCATGTAGGACATAATTTTTAAAAACAAGTAAGTTGTCACATGCAAAACAAAACAAACAGGAAAGATTGAACTTAGCACTGGCTCTGAAGTACAATTTTTCAGACACGTGCAATGAAAAAATGGCATTAATTTTATTCTAGAAGAGCTATTGTTCAATTATCTTATTTCATACTGTCTATCTGGTAAATTTATTAAAATATCATTAGCTTAGTAGTTGCATTAGTCATTTTTCTATCACTGAGACCAAACACCCTACACCCCACAGGAGGCAAGGTTTACTTTGATCTCAGTTGCCAGAGGACTCAGCCCTACTCTACACCCCAGGAGGCAAGGTTTACTTTGATCTCAGTTGCCAGAGGACTCAGCCCTCGGTTGTTGGCTCCAGGCTGAAATGGCCTGGTGCAGGAAGTCTGTCCTGGAAGCAGAAGAGAAGAGGCCAGATGATAATGCCCCCTTCTTTCTCTCACCCCCATCCACCTGCTTCTTCCACAGCCCTGCCCTTGAACAGCACACCCCGCTCCAACCAGTGGGTCAGCACAGGCATCCCGACTGGTTCACTTTGCACAAGCCCCTCTGAACATACGAGACATTTTAGATCTAAACTATAACAGTAATTCTTACTAGAATATACTCAAATATATTTGTATGTAATTCGAGAAACATCTGAATAAAGAGTTTTCACTGTACCTGTAAAAAATTTTTTTTAGAATTTGAAGACCAAATGGAACTTCTAAAAGTGCATCATTTCTTTATTGTATATGACAGTATTAGCCAAATCTTTCCAAGCTTAAAATACTGTTTTTCTTTCCAGGTTCTTGGAAGAGACTTAAATTCTTTTTGAGTCGATGCGTCTTGAAATATGCATTGTAAATCACAGCACAAAATATTTTTACATAGAAAAAGGAATATAAAATGTTACAGTTATTAAAATTTAGTTTTTAAGAAATATGGGAAAAAATAAATATTTTAATTAAAAATATCGAAATTCTTAAAGTATATCCAGGAAGATATATATAAAATTTTCTTATTTCTAAAATAAATTTCCTAGTACAGTGGGTAAACACATCATTTGTAATACTCCTTTCTCTAGATTAAGCATGTAGGTAACTGAGTGTATATGTAAACTTACTATAGAATTTAGTAAACTGAAACGTCTGTGGTCTTCTACCTTGTCTTAGTATATAGCTAAATTGTAATCAGAGATCTTTGAGTTCAAAGATCAGAGATCTTAGTTTTTTATATTTATGTTCATATATATATCCCACAAAACCTACCTTCCTGAGTTTTTCTGTTGTGACTTGCATTGGTTGTATTGACACTGTATTTAATCCATATTTTAACTAAAATAATTCTATAAACATACAGAAAGAAGTGCAGAATCATAAAGATGTTACTGTTAGTTCTGCTGTGAATGAACATCATCACAAAAGAGCAAAATTAAGAGAAATGAGTAAAGATTTGAAATTTCTTAAAATGAGAAATACCTTAGGAAGTCATACATATGGAAATCAGGTAAAACTTTACAAATTAAAAAGAGTTTATTTATATTTTACAATTTCTTTCTGAATTTTCCAAATATGATATCGTTCAAGAAATTTTTTGAATCATCTTTCCAAAATGTTATGAAACATTTGTGTACAATTTTTTAAAGACTGAGGAGGAAATAAATACTTATGTACCCAGTTAGGAAAGGAAATACATTACCAACTTTATAAGCCCCTGATACGTCGTTTGTCACTAGGTGTCCTCCCTTTTGCCTAGAAGTATCCTGTATTTTAGGATTTGCTTTCATTGTGTTTTTAACACTAGGATGAATCCCAAGTAGCACATTGTTTAGTTTTGCCCATTAATGAAGATTTTGTAGCTGTGCTCTTTATGACAAGCTGGTATATATATCTTTCACTGTTAGTCTTTCACTATTGATGAGCGTTTAGGTTTCTCTTTGTTGGGTGGTGTGGTTGCTTGATTGGTTGATTTTTGAAATCAAGAACACTTCTGCTGTGCAGCTGTGAACATTATCTGGTGTAACTCTGATTAGAAATTTCTTTAGCTTGGATTTATTTCTGGGAACAGAGATGCAGGGTCTTAGCAACTGTGCATGTGTGGTACTACAAAGTAATGCCCCACTGTTTGCCCAAATGATTTGTTAATATGTACTTACTTCAACAGAAGGATGTTTGCTGTTGTGTATAACTCTTGCTTTTTAATGTGGTATACTTATAAGGTACTCTTCTTGCATTTGTATGGATTTTGTAACATATAATTCATATTGATCTTTCACGGTGGCCCAAATACATACAGAAGGAAACTAAGAAAAAATACGAAGATATTCAAAGGAGTTATACTTTGAGGAAAAAATGCAAAAAAGAAACCGATTTCAAGAAAAACATCGAACGTGACAGAATTAAAAGTACCTTAAGAAAACATGTATATTACAGAGATCAGGTAATGTTTTGTAAACTGAAGCATAATTTTAATTTTTCTGGCTCTTTTTAATCCAGATAGATGATCTGATTTTCATAATTGCTTGCTTTGTTAAATATTATCTATCTGTCTTATGAAGAAAAATCTACTTGAGTTGAGCTAGTGTATTGGGTCCATGGTGAAAGTATTTTTACATGAATACTCTTAAGAAATTTGATGAAAAATACTTTAAAAATACACATGTAGTTTGGATAATACATTCTAATGTGTGTATTTTGTTATATATCTTGCTTTTTCCTAAGATGTTACAGATCATTTATAATAAGATAATTTGTGTTTTAAATGGATTCTTCTTGGATAAATCATTTAGAGTACAACTTTATTTTACATCCTAAGTCATAGCACGTTTATATAGGTTGACCCTAATCCAAAAATCCAACATCTGAAATGCCCCAAAATCTAATACTCTATAGCAGTGATGGTGAACCTTTTAGAGCTTTCAGTGTTAACAAATAGCCCATTGTGGCACGTCCATAGGTTCGTCACCCGTGCTACATAAAGTATGACATGATACCACAGTGGAAAGTTCCACACCTGACCTTATTTGATAGGTTTCAATAAAAACACAGTCCCTGTGCATTAAAAATATTGTATAAAATTATCTTAATATATTTATGAATGAAGTATATAAAACATAAGTGAATTTTTTGGTTAAATTTAGATCCAATCCCCAAGATACCTCATTAGGTCTATGTAAATATTCCAAAATCTAAATATACTCATTCTTTATACATATAGAGGCAAATAAACTTATTTTATGTGAACATGGCAACAAAGAAAAACAGGTTTCAGGAAAGACCTAGAACAGGTTAAACTGAGAAGCACAGTAAATTCATATATGTAAAAAAAAAAAAAAAAAACCCTTCCGAAATTGAGTTGTTTGCTTTTTTTAATTTTATCCTTAACTTAATAATCTTGATAAATAATTGTGAAGACCTTTGCTGTGTCTAACGTTATATAAATGTGGTCTTGTACTGTCTGTTGTAATATCATTTGTGTTGACATCATCTTTCATGCATTATCTAAAGTTCTTTTGCATGTGTGCAGAAAGAAATGAACAATTCTGTTTTTGCTGATTATGCCAAAGAGTCAAAATCCAAGGATATAAAGAAAGATGTGGATATCATTGAAATAAAAAATATCCTAAGGAAACACATATATAGAGCGCAGGTAAAACTCAACACACTGAAAAGTTTTAATACTGTCTTATCTTTCTCTAGCATAATCAAAATATAATTATTTATGTAGACATCGATATATGATTCATTAGTATGCTAAATATTTTAAAATAATTTTCTTCAGTAAACTTACAGTATGAGCAGTAATGTATTTAGACATTTAGTAAATACGTTGATTTCTCTGCTACACTTCAGTGATGTCAATATTTGTATTTAGATACTGGAGTAACTTTACGGTATGGTTGGCAGCTGATACTTTAAATCAGTCCAGTTGGTTGCACTGTGACTTTAGATCTTTTATGAGTTTAAGAAATATTATGGTTTAGTAGATTATCCAACTCTTTCTTATTGTTGGAACATTTCTCTTCCCAACTTTATACATTGAAAATAGAATCCAGAGATTTATCATTGTTTTAATTAGTGTTTATTCTGTTAGTAGCAAGTTTGAGCATATTTTATACCTGCATTTGCAATATATATTTCCTTCTCTGCCAGTTTTCTATCCATATTCCTTTCCCATTTTTCCATTGGGTTGTTTATTTTATATCTGTCTCTAGAACTATTTAGAACCAAGATATTTTCTTTATTATATTTTTAGAGATTTTTTTTCCTGTGATAATCCTTCTAAAATGTATACTTTATAGGTATTTTAAAACAACTGAGAAATAGTTTATGTGTGATTATGTAGAAAACCTGCCAGACTTATTTTATCATATGAACCCATAGATAAGTTTTCTTCCCAGTCCTAGTTTTAATTATTGAAACAATAAAAATAATGGACCTCTTCAAAGTGAAAACCTTGTAAGGTATTTTGGGGGGCCGAGGGGAGACAAGTCTCACCGTCCCAGCTGGCCTTGAACTTGTGCTGATTCTTCTACTTCAGTCTCCAAAGTGCTGGCGTTACAGGTGTGTGCTACCATACCTGGCTTTGGTTGTTTTTAATCTAGAGGGAGAAAATAGAGAAACATTATTTTTTTCCCTCATTGAGTTTATTGGTACTTTTTAGGTATACAGTACAGTTACATTCATCATTAGGATCTTGAACCCTTACGTGACAGGTCTTTGTTCTCATTTTTTTCCCCATACCCCTACCCTCCCTTCACCCCCTCCTCCCTTCCCTATTTACAAAAACTTTGTTTCCATTCTTTCATTTTCTCATATTTTTTCTTTTCTCTTACTTCCTTTCCCCTACCCTTCCCACTTCCTGTACACCTTTAGCCCTTAAAGTGTAAATAAGATCCAAATGGTACAATGTGAAATAGGAAGAAAAGGGAGAAATACACTCTTGAGAGTGCTATTGCAGTGACAGTTACTAACTTGAGCAAGCAAGAGTATCAGATTAATTATAGTATCAGTGTGTTCCCGAACCTGTTCTGTGTGTTTGGCCAGGTTTTTGTGCTTTGTAATCTGAAATGTATTTTTCAACCTAAAATGTTAAATTTTAATTACACGGTTGCTGTTTTTTTTAGGCTGTCAGGTACAACTGCATTAGAATAGAGAAACAACCAGTATACAATGTAGAGGTAAGGGGCTTGGAGGAAGGTAAAGGGGAGGGGGTGTCTTTTGTTACTTTTATTTTGATGTAAAGTAGTGTGTTACCTGTAAAACAAAGCTTCCTGTGTAGTTTTTCTAATCAGAAATGAAAAAGAAAAATACTGTTCTGTCAAAGCTCCAAAACATTTTTTATGCAGTTGAAAAAAGTTACCTTTAGGATTAAAAGTTGACTTTGTACTCATGACAGATGAAACACATATTTCGTAATTTTGATAATTACTAGCTTCGGATTAAATTTTATCTGTGTGTGTGTGTGTGTGTGTGTGAGAGTGAGTGTGAGGCAGGGTCTCTGTTGTTCAGGCTGACCTTGAACACGTGGCTGGACCAGTTCTCTTGCCTCAGTCTGCCAAGTACTTGGCAGTACAGGATGCTGTACCACGTTCAGCTTCAGAGTGCATTTGTACCATATTTCCAAAGTATATTATTTTTTTGTATCAATATTCATTATTAAAAGTTGGTCCCGTTAGTCTGCCTCAGAACTTTTTGACTCTTAACGGACAAGTAGTTCCTTGTATCATTAAAATTATTTTAACCAAAAAGGGACTGTATCTTTTGAAGCAATTAGTTATATTAACGTCCTTAGAATGATCTTATGATTCTCTAAAAATGGTCATTTTTGCATATGTGCCTTAGAGTTTGGTTGATGAAGAGGAGACTTCTCAGCTACAGTTACACATTTTTCAGGTGCAAACTTAAAACAGTAAGATTTTCTTTTGTGAACTGTATGTCCCCTTTCCAAGGCAACAGAAAATAAACATAGCAATGTATATGTTCTCTTGTTTCTAGTTGTACAGCACAGTCATTCTTGTCATCCTATTTGAATCACAAAGTAAGGATCAGAATTATCTTCAAGATTTGATTCCCCAAATTTCACCTTTTCTTCTTTGACTCAGATCGTCTTTTTTCCTTAGGTTAAAAATGCTGAATTTCCCAGGGGTGTATTAAATTTAATTGAAAGCCTCATAGAAGGACAGTTTTTTAAAGAAGCAATGGAAGAGCTTTCCTTCTTGCAAGCCCACTATATCCCTCCTGTGTGCCTGCTTCATGCTTTTCTAGACAACGTTCTACAGGTGAGAGCAATATTAAGGTCAGACGCTCTTTTTTACAAAGAGTGCCAAAATGGGAATATTTTCTCTTTTATATGTTTATAGTTTATCTTCTCTTTTCCCCTTTATTGGGAAATGCAGGATCCATTTGGTATCACTTTTTTTTTTTTTTTAACTATATCATGGTACTACTCAGAGCATTTCCAAGACAATTTTCTCTTGGAAAAAGGAGGTTATCTAATTTTTCCCATGGCAGTAATGTCTTAGCATAAAAATCAGATTGCAGTGATCTAGAATGCCATTGGGTAAATTACTCCTTCACAACATTATAATAATTATTTTTGTTTATGATATACAGAGATGATGAACATAACTTCCTAGTAAAATATTAGGAACATCTATTAGAGGTAGTTTTGTAAGTGTGTTCTTCATCAAGTGATGATTTGAAAATGTACCAGGCATAAGCTCTGTCCAAGTAATAGTGATGAAAGAGTGCTGCATGAAAAGTTCTTAGTCTTCCTTTGTGTGTGACATTTGGAACTATAATCATGAGAAGAAAACATTTCATATAAGCTAGTCCTAACAGCTAACATTACTTAATGTGGAGCTACATATTTATAGTATGTCTGTTTCACTATTTTATTAGCTAATTATGACACTGTCATCTGATCTTCTTTGTCCAAATTTATATTTTTGGAAGAAAAAAGTTAGGTTAGAGTTATTCTAGTTGTAGACTAAATTACCTGGTCGTACTTACTTTTAGCAATAGTGTTTTATTTGTTTATTTCCAAATAATAGGATAACATAGATACATTTTCTGGTCGATACTTTGATATATTGTCAGCTCTTCTCCGTCTGCATCCTCCTTGGAAATCCCCAGCCATGTCAAGATATTACTTAGAGTTGTTTCAGTGTCCAACTTGTACGAAAGGAGCCTGGTCTCTAGTAGAATCACTTGTCAGGTAAGGAATTTCACATATGAGAATGCTAAATTTTGTCTTGCTCTTGTTAAACTATGTTTCTGTTTTGCTTAAGGCGGTCACCCAGGCTTTTGTCAAACTTGTGAGCTTAGGTGACCCTCGTACCTCTACCCCTTGAGTACCAGGGACTACAAGTGTGTGCCAACACTCCTGGCTCACCTGTTTGTTTTTTTAGATCCTTATGAAAGAAGTATATTATTTTAGAAAAATTGTGTGTATGGTATATTTGTGTTGTATTTACTGGAAAACTCAAAAAGGACAAGTCTACGTTTGTCATGTTTGTCAGTCTATTTCTTAAAAGAAGTTCAATGAATATAAGAAGTGGACCTATTAGCCAAAGTTTAATTTTTAAACAAATTTAAATTTTGCATCTTTTTAAACATAAAAATTCCAAATATTCATATCATCAATTTTTTGGTCATTCAAAATATAAATATTTTTAATTATACACTATTTCTATTTCAGAGTTTTTGCTATATTTTCTTCAGCTCCAAATTTGAATTCTGAAACAGGACTTAGTGTTTCCCAAATAGGTCTTCTTTTTCAAGCACCTGCACAGGATGTCATCTGCCTAGACCTTCGTCTATCTTCCAAATGTTACTGTCTCCAAACATCTTTCCTATTCTCCTTATTCTCTCCTATGCTCCTAATTAGCAGAACTAATTATTTTCCCATTTCTACTCTGATACCTCTGTGTATTTTATAACCCTCCTTTGCCTGGTAAGATCTTTTTTTTTTTATCCAAGCGTTCAATTTTTCTGTTGGTGGTGGTATTTGTTTGTTTGTTTGTTTGGTTTGGTTTGGTTTGGTTTGGTTTTTGGGTTTTGTTTTTTTGTTTTTTTAATTTTTTTTTTTTTTCCTGAGACATGGTCTCACTATGTAGTTCAGGCTGCCCTTGAACTCATTAATTAGATAGCCCAGGCTGGCCTTGAACTCACTATGTAGCCCAGGATGGCCTCCAAACCATAAAGATTCTCCTGCCTTGGCCTCTTGAGTGCTAGGATTACAGGTGTGTGCCAGCGTGTTCAGTTTTAAGAGGGCCAGAAAAATTAGACAGAAAGTGCCACTTGATAGGTAGGCAAAGGTTAGATCTTGGATTAGCTCTTTGAGATCATAAAGCTACCAGCTTCGTTAGGATACATTTGAAGTGAGCTAGTCAGTTACCTAGCATGAATTTATTCCTTCAACAAATGTTTATGGGGAACCATACACTGTATTCCACTTGAGGGTTAAAAACATAAATAAAATTACAGTTTCTGTACTTTAAAGGTGATTGAGATGTAAACAAAGTGCTAGCATAGCAGTACTAGCCCAGCTTAGATATAGGATGGGAGAAATATAGTTCATATATTGTCCCTTATTTGCAGATTTCCTTCCTTCACTGCCATCGCCTTTATTTAAAAGCCCCTTTTACTCCTCATATAAACTATCACAGTGTCTGTTTCCTTAAAAGCAGATGCTCAGTCTTACACATCTCTGTTATCGATGTCTCATGTAGAACATAATAAATGCTTAGTAAGGGTTTGGATGAATTAACTGAAACCACAGGAGATGGGATTTGGACAGCTCTCTTTTATGAAGCAGAAATACCCAGGTTTTGCTTCAGAAGTACTGTGTTTACTGGGGGCTGGAGAGGAGAGAATACCAAAAAAAGTGAGTCTAAATGAGCTGAGTGCTACTAGTCTCTCTACCACTGTTTATATTTGAAATATTCCGTAATACATTGCTTATCTATCTCTGGTGATAGTCAGACAGCCTGAATAATTCTGGGGAGGGAGATACTTTGGAGCCAATTCAAGTCTTAAGTAAAGTGTTACATTTAATAGCTACTAAAGACTGTCCCCAGAATGTGGCATTCACAGTCAAACACAGATCCATTATTGAAGCAACGGATAAGAAAGCTGGGAGATAGTAAGTAATAAACATGGTTACTTCAGTTCCTTCTATAAGTCTTAAGAGTTCATTAGTATTAAGTTTTCTTTTAAAATATGCTACAGAACTGTGTTACCCAGCCCGGTAGCCACTAAAATAATTAAAATGTAGGTCCTCAGGTATAAAAGCCACATTTCCAAGATGTACTTATCATAAGAGAAAGTTCTGCTGGACAGGCTTATTTTGGAAGATAGAAAATAAAATACCAAATTTCTCAAACTCTAAAATTGGAGCCCTGTATAACTTTGATTTACTAAATAATGAAAAAAAAAATCATGGTTGAGAATGAGAAGGATTTTAGGAGGTATTGTAGTCTGAGGGAAAAACTAGTTATTTGGAGCAGAAGGACTTAACAAAATTTCTAAGGCTTTGTCTTATCAGTGTAATAAAGGATACAGAAAGAGTGCTGATTGTTAAATATCAT